CAACTTGCATACTCGGCAAGTGTTCCTTGAAGGGCATGCCCTGGTGGAGTGAGATCGTGCCAGACAGTTGCCGCAATATTTATGTACTCTAACAGCCTCTTTCCGCTCATCTACAGTCATTCGCCGAAACCACGCACAAGCCTGTAATGGATGGAAACGGCAGCATAGCTGGCATTGGTAAATGTCCGCCATTCTGAAATAAAAAAACCGTATTAGATGGTCGACATACTGGAGATGGGCTTCGAAAAACGTATAGAAAAGTGTGGTAGTTTAGAGTTTAGTTTAGTTTATTGGGGGGGAAGTACACAAAGTTTTACGATGGGTCGTGTGAAAATGCCATTTTGAGTTTTAACTTCGGCTACTCGTATGTGGTTATCAGCTCCTCGGTGGAGTCTGACAATTCTACCAAGACACCATTCTTGAGGGGGTAGCAGGTCATCCTTTACGACCTGAGATCGCCATCTTCCACATCCTTTTGAGGATATCGCCATTTGTATCGCTTGTGCAACTCGCGCAGATATTCGCTTTTGCATCTTCTGCTAAACTCTTGGTGAAGAACTTTAAATTTCTTCCAGCGGTTTGTTAGGGACGGCGTTTCTATGGAGGTTTCGGGGATGGCGGTCAAGGGTGCTCCACGTATGAAATGACCAGGAGTTAGTACAAGGAGGTCGGTAGGATCTTCTGACATGGGCGATAGTGGGCGAGAGTTTAAAACTGCTTCGATGCGAATGAGTAGGGTAGTGAGCTCTTCAAAAGAAAATTTGTGCATTCCCGCTACTTTAACAATATGAGTTTTAAAGCTTTTGAAAGCTGATTCCCATAACCCTCCCATATGGGGAGCATACGGGGAGATGAATTGCCAATTTAGACCTTGAATTTGGTATTTCCTCGATATTTCGCTCGATGCTTCTTGGAGAAACCTTTCGAATTCTTTATTCAGAGACCGTTGGGCCCCAATGAAAGTTTTGCCATTGTGGGACATCATTTTGGCTGGTAGTCCTCTTCGTCCTACAAATCGGGCGAATGCTGCTAAGAATGCGTCTGTGGATAAGTCGGAGCATAGTTCGAGATGAATGGCTTTCGTTGCAAACGCAGCTTTGACGAAAAATGGTCCAGCGAAGTCTACTCCTGTTGTATTAAAGGGCAGTGAAAATGTTACTCTTTCAGAAGGAAGAGCTGCCATAATTTGAGAGCGAACGTTCTGTTTGTGAATAGTGCATACTTTGCAATGGAATATGCACTTTTTTATGAGCGACTTTAACCGAGGAATGAGAAATTCTTGTTGGGTCATGCGAATCATTAGGGATTTCTCCGCATGCAAAAGGGTTGTGTGAAGAAATTTGAGATAGAGTTCACAGAATCGGGAGTTTGCGGGCAATATGGTGAGGTGACGCTCGTTGTAACTTAGAGCGGCCCGGGCCAATCTGCCATTTACACGCATAAGCCCCTGTTTGTCGAGAAATGGATTTAAGGTAAGCAACCGGCTCCTTTTACTTATGGGTTGGGCTCGAGTCAATTGAGAGTATTCATCCGAAAAAAATCGTTGTTGGGCTATGCAAATCAAGCGCGTCTTTGCGGCATTTATTTCATATTGAGTTAACGGGCCAATATCTTGAGATTTTTGTTGGCATTTCTGACTGAAACGAA